AAGATCGGCGTTGTCTTCTTCTCCCTCGAGCCGTACATCTCGTCGGAAAAGGTTCGGTTTTTTTTCCGATTGATGGGTCCAATTGTGTAATTACAGGATTCGATTTGGTGATTTGGCTCGTTTTGCGAAGTGGGTTTATTACGATTATGCATTGTCTTTTGTCAAATCAAAGAATTGTTTTTCTTTTCTCTACAGCTCTAAGGGACCTTCCAAGCGAAGTCGCTCTCCTCAATCTAAACGAGCCTCTTCACCTCCAAAGTCTGTTTCTTTTCTAATTAAAAGCATTGTCTTTTGAGTCTGCAAATTTACTTAACAAGCTTCTTAACTTCATTCATGTTTCTTTCTTTTTTTTTGGTTGCAGGAGAGTTCTAGAATCTCTTGTTCTTCATATAGATACACTGAGCAGGAATGTGAACGAAGGCCATCTGAAAGAAATATTCGGTATGCTGATTTTGCATCGAAATGTGCTTGTCTTATAGTCAACATCAGTTACAATTGATAGTATTTTGCTCGTTATATGGATGTATCTTCACTGCATTTTGAATTATGTCTGTCGTTTGTGAATGAATGATCTCATCCTCTATGTGGTTTAACGTTGCTTGTCATAGTGAGTGTAGATAATGACTTGTTTTTCCGTATGTGCAGGCAATTTTGGTGAAATTATTCATGTTGAACTTGCGATAGATCGAGCAGTAAGTTCTTATGAATTGCTCTCAGCTGGTTTGCGGAGTTGTGTTTGCTAAGTACTCTGCTCATAGTTCTTTGTTGATGTTAACAGGTTAATCTTCCAAGAGGGTATGCATATGTTGAATTCAAGGCAAGAGCTGATGCGGAGAAAGCACAGCTGTATATGGATGGTGTATGTTTCTTTTCAGATTTCTAATGAACTGTTTTACTTTAAAAAGTCTGATGATAGACTTCTCCCTTGTTTCATTTTGTTTGATTAACGTAGGCCCAAATTGATGGAAAGGTTGTCAAAGCAAAGTTTACGCTACCACCACGCCAGAAAGTATCTCCACCTATCAAACCTGTTTCAAGTGCGGCGAAGGGAGATGCTAAAAAATCTGATAATGTTGTTGCTGACATTGAGAAAGATGGCCCTGGGTGCCTGAAAGAAAGTATGTCCATATATTCTGGTTCTTTTTTTAAACTTTTTTGTTGTCTTATAGTAATGCTCGTGCCAATGATTATCTTCGACATGTGTTTAGCTTCTCCACAACCGAAATCGTTATTATCTCCAAGAAGACGATCACCTCTGCATAAGAGGGGTGGATCACCAAGGGGATTACGTGATTCTCCTCCACCAAGAAGGCTAGAGTCTCCTATCCGCTGTAGAGCTGAACCTCCATCTAGAGGCCGTTCTCCATCTTCTCCAAGGTTAAGGTCTCCTCCAAGGTTGACAGAGTCTGCTTAGTTTCCTTGTTTGGTGTTGAATACCACATTGGTTCATTAACTCAACTTCTATCTGTCAGCAGGGGTGATTCCCCTCAAAGGATCCGTGGGAGTTCTGCTCGAAGTCGTTCTCCTCTTCCTTTTAGGCGGCGGTAAATTTATGTCTTTAGCACTTACTTCCGTGTAATTAGAGGATGAGATGAACTTATTTTTACCGTATGGAGTTGGGGAAACCAAATGTTCTGCGCAAATTTTTTTTAGTTTTCGTTCTGGATAATCTCTTGAATGCAAACATGCAGGTCACCTCCAAGGCGGCAACGCAGTCCTCCGAGAAGATCTCCAATCCGCAGACGTAGCCGGTCACCAGTTCGTAGGCCTGCTCGTTCTCGTTCAAGGTCAATATCACCCCGCAGGTATAGTTAAATCCTTGTGAATTTGTCAGTGTTAGCTTTGATATCTGTTGTAGTTGCACATCTATTACACTACATATAAGGCTCCTAGTTCACGAGTTTGGTCCAAGATAAACGTCAGCCAGATATGCTAAATGGCCTTTAATATCGAATTGATAAGGTCAATGTGGATTCTGTTATTGTAGCTCCTTACATAGTAGTGTTTGTCCATTGTAATCTTACTCTGTTATAGTACCCAAGTGTAATCTCGTCCCTGCTTCGAAACAGGGGAAAAGGTCCAGCTGGAAGACGGAGAAGGTCATCTTCCTACTCTAGTTCCCCAAGCCCCCGTAAGGTATGGCTTGTTGCAGACCTTTTTTCAGCTAAAGAAATAAAAAGATGCCTTGTTGAGTTACGTATTGACGTTCTAGCTTATGTGAACTTACAGGCTTCTAGGAGGATATCAAGGAGCCGCAGTCGTAAGAGGTTAGACTGTTACTACTATTACAACTCATAATTTTTTGATGGTCAAGTTAGCAGCCCTAAGAGGTTTGTGTGTATAGGAACATTGAGTTTATCCCATTCCTCTGCTATGCTTGTTTGTTAGTTCTAAAAGCATATGGTGAGACTTTTACATTAGGCAATGTCTTTTGACTAGATATCTTTATGCAATTGGTGTCATGAGGTGTTTGCCTGGTCCTTAGCTAAAATAGATATCACAACTTTTTTTTTATCAGTGGCTAATAGTGAAAGGCATTATAGAACGTACTGTCATTATAATCTGCTAGTTCACGAGCTTGTGATCGATTAACACACAAGATTCAAGACCACCAAACTAGAAAATCTCATATCAATGTTATGCTTTCAAATCTGATTTAATATCTTGTGGGATTATGCTACAAGTAGGCCTTTTTTTTAGAGGA